GGGGCGACAGATTCCAGCATATCCAGTTGAGACGGGAAGCAGGGATTCGCCGGAGAAGCAAGCGACGCATCGCTGGCTTGGATCGCCGGAGCCGTCGGAGAAGAGGAAGGAATCGTCCCCTGCAGGGAAAAAGAAGACGAAGAGAGAAGTGGAGCAGGTCCGCCGTGAGTCCTCGCCGTCGGCGCGGGAGACGTCACGATCGGCGACAACTTACGCCACGACGATGATGGGCGAGACGACAGCTAAGATGAAGATGGGGCTCGCCGGATTGAGGTTGCCAGACAAGACGACGGAGAAGGAGCTGTCAATGAGGGGACGAGGAGTGCTGGGGAAGGTGAGCAACATGGCCTCGGGATCGACTCCCTGCCGCTCGACGAACTTCTCTCCGCCGGAGAGCGAGGTGAAGATGGAGGTGGCGGAGAAGGATTTGACATCGGCTCTCATCGTGTCGTCGATCAGCTGGGAGAGGAGTTGGAGGACGGAGCTAGACGCGCGGCACCATCCCCGCCGCCGGATTGATTGCGCGCCGCCAGATAAGAAGTCACCCACGGACGGGATGAGGAAGATGGAGGGTGGCGGCCGCGTTTCTTCTCTTGCTAACCCTAGGGCTGCAGTACGTGAGAGATTGGGCCAAGCTGTTCAGGTCTTCTATGCTGATGGGCCAAGCGGAGCGGGCTCATGTGCTGAGGAAGGGGAGCAGAGGCATGGGCTAGCAGCAATTGAGGAGGAATGGACGTTTGGGCCGAAATATTTGGGCCAGGGAGCACAACTAAAGCATCAAATTTCCTCTTTGGGCCGAGTTGAAATGGGCCAACCGAATGAGCTTAAGAATGGGATAGAAATTTATTCCATGCTTGGCCTCTTGAGAAAAGAAAGTGGGCCGAGATTCCAAGGAAGATTTGGGCCAATAATGGGCTATCTTGTTGGGTTCATTTTACAGGAATCAAACATGAAGGAAAAGAAAGATGGGCTTCAAGGATTAGCTATTGGGCTTTCAAGTAAACTTAATCCAAACCACTTTGGAGAAGAATGGAGCCCAAAAGAACTTATTTTCACCACCAAGTCCATGGAGGAATTTAGGGAGCATTTCCTTGAAGACCTCAAGCTAGAGCACAAGGAAGAACAATTGTTCGGCTATGGAGAACGTGACATGTGTCACATGGGTGGAGAAGAAACAAAGAGAGTGGGAGTTCCGCGTGAAGAGTTCATTCAAAGGATCGAGCACAATTGGAACCGAAGAAAGCGGAAGCTCAAGGAGGTAGAAGTCAACTACAACCTTGAGGCCAATGTTGTTTTCAAGGGGGATGGATTGGCAGAAACACATTTATTTAGGTTTTATGTTATTATATTAGGTAGGACAATTATAATTATGGTTAGTAGAGATTTAGTCGGATTAGGATTATCATTAGGGTTTTCCAGTATTTCCCTATAAATATGTACTTTGGGTTTACGTCATAGTCAATCAAGAAGAATATTAAGCAAAGTCTCCTAAACCCTAATCTCTCCTCTCCTCTCAACTCATAATCCTAGTCCAAGGCCTCACCCGATTTCCAATTCTATTTTGTTCTTCTCATCTAAATCCCTAATCCCTAATCTCAACCCTAAATCCCAATCTCACGGGTGCCGAAGATCAGTATCGAGAATTCCTAGAAGCGGGGTTCTCACATTATCCAACTGGGAAAAACCATATATGATTTTACGGTGGTGGTGATTTACACCAACCATCATAACAAATGGCCTATTGTACTTGTTGCGCTTGTAGCATGCATCAAAAGCCAACACATATCCAAAATTTTTTGGTAATATGCTCTGGATGTGGAGTCCGATCAAAATAGATTGCTCAATTCACCTTGATTGTTGGTTGTGTACTTGAAGAAGTTGCCAGCATCAGAAGCATGTCTACTTTGCAAGTAACCCAATGTTTGGTTTACATGTCCTATTAGGTCGTCGTAATCATTTCAGGATCTCTGAACAGCGTTATCCAAATCCTTTGGAGTGTACCCCAGATTCTCATATCCTCTGACCTTATTCTTCACGAACCGAACAATGTTGCGTTGTTTTATTCCTGACTGTCGCATCCCTATTGCCAATGCCTTGTCTCCTTCAGTGCAACAACGATGTGAGGGCTTCATCTCGAACTTAGAAACAACCCATACTCTCTTCCCCCGGTCAAATCGTACATTATAGGATGCATTGCAAGAATGTCTTGTCATCTTACGATGTTACGGATCCGACCTTCTTTATCAATATGCCTCCTCTCTAATTCCCTCTCTTGAACATACCATTTTCCTCCCGGTAACTTTTCCTCGACGATTCCTCCGAAGATCTCTACGTCGAACGCTAAACCCTTTCGCTTTAGCATAGGCATCATAAAATTTCTCTGCATCTTCTAATGTTGGAAACTCCATGGAAAGAATTTGTTGTTCATATTCAGTAGCTTCCTCATCATCCATAAATTTTTCTTCAGCACCCTCACTTTCCTCATCGTCCCCAAGCTCTTCATCTATATCATCTATGTCATCTTCATCTCTATCGTCTATATCATCTCTATTATCCATCCTACAATGATCAGAATACGAGTTGTATGTCAAATAAAATACAAATTAGGTCTCGTCAGGTCGACCTAGAGGAAGTGTTAGGTCGACCTAAACAAAAAAAAATCAAATTCGGTCGACCTCTGGTGTTGACGTGGCCGACCTAACGAGGAAAAAGGCAACCACAAAACCCGTAAACAAGCACACATGATATTTGAAAGCATACCTCAACAAGATTAGGTCGACCACTTAGTTATAAGGTCGACCGGAATAAGACCAATCAGTCACCAAGACACCAACACACGACCACAATAAGAGCGATGAGATTACAAGTTCCCACCAACAAGTTGCATGAATCGAATTATGATGAAAGTCTTAAAACTTTCATATATTTATAGACAATGTAGACGAATTTCATATCCTTACTAGTATGGGGGAACACTTATCCCAATTAGTCAAGGATACATAAAATCCTAATTCAACAAGGAGAAGTATGCAAACTCCTAATTCGACAAGGATAAGTACACAAGCAATCTATGTTTCTCCATCTCTGAACGAACTATTTCCGAGATATGGTCGACCTAGAGGAAGTTTTAGGTCGACCTAAACAAAAAAAAAAATCAAATTCAGTCGATCTCTAGTGTTGACGTGGTCGACCTGACTAGGAAAAAGGTAACCACCAAACCCGTAAACAAGCACACATGATATTTGAAAGCATACCTCAATAAGACTAAGTCGACCACTTATTTATAAGGTCGACCGGAATAAGACCAATCAGTCACCAACACACGACCACAATAAGAGCGATGAGATTGCAAGTTCCCACCAACAAGTTGCATGAATCGAATTATGATGAAATCTTAAAGCTTTCATCTATTTATAAACAATGTAGACGAATTCCATATCCTTACTAGTATGAGGAACACTTATCTCAATTAGTCAAGGATACATAAACTCCTAATTCGACAATGAGAAGTACACTAACTCATAATTCGACAAGGATAAGTACACAAGTAATCTATATTTCTCCATCTCTTGCCGAACTATTTCCGAGATAGGGTCGACTGTTTTTGGTTGAGGTGAAATCAATAGATTTGAATCCATATTCGAAATTGTTTACGAGCTAAGTAAAGGTAGCTTAGGTCGACCTAACACATACAAGGTCGACCTGTCCTCTGCCAACGAGGTCACCATCTTTCTCTCTGTGGTCGACCTATTTGGGTAAAAGATTCATACTATAAATTTCTTCAAATCCATCATTAAATAACTAGTCAATTAAACGGAAAATATTGAATATCCGACCGAAAACAACCTCGCAAATCACATGTTATCCGATTGTCTAAATAATGTAACATTGTAACTTAATGATATCATTTCTTGGCTTTTTTCTTTGAACTCTTTCTCTCTTTGCTTCGTTCCACGCATTCATCTACTACATGCTTGAAAAGATCTTCTCGTGCACGGTTCCCATAATGTGTAGCCAGATACCATAGAATCTCCTTTCGAGCCGACAATTTGTGTTTTACTCCTGTCTGCATTATCACATATAACACTTTGTTAGAACTTGTGATACACAAATTTCAGCAAGTTTTTTGGTTGAGTATATATAAACCACTCTATCCAGATCTTTGGATCCATAGCGCATCCACTGCATCACGTGCACACCACATTTGGTAATGTTCCTTTGACCTTGAACGCGTAGCTCATCGATATTGGAAGCTCCAAAATCAAGTACAACTACATTGCTCATGCGCTCCAGTTTGAAAATATCGTACAATTTGGACAACTACACACAAATAATGATTATTATATGCTTCTAGCAGTATACGTGACACTAAGTAGTCATAAGATTATAGTAAACACTTACCATTTTCTTGCAGAGATTTGATTTACGCTAACAACCCGACTCAGCAATTGATGGTAGACTGCCAAGCAGAAATGCGGTTTTTTGGTGCACATTGACGAGATACAGAAACCAATGACGTGCCTCTTCGTTCAGAACTGGCATAAATATCTATCAAAGAAAATGAATAAGTTATAAAATGTGAAAACAAACAAATGCACATTGAAAGCTTAATGATGTAGGGCCATTGACTAACCTTCTGGCATGCACTAACATTCGGTGTATACACCAAACTATCATTCATCAACTTGTTACGAATTTTTCGGCCGTCATGTTACTGCATACCATTTTCTGGATCATATTTTTATTCAGATTAATTGACATGGTACAATATTAATAACTAGGTTAGGACAAAAAAAAAATTACGCCTCTTACCGAAAATATATTTGGCAAATACCACACATTTGACTCGTTATTTTCAATTGTTTCAAACATTGTTATTGCCGTGCACACAAATCCACTACCTACAATCCAACAATCAACCACAAAATAAGCATAACAGAAATAGTGCATAATTCATACCAAAGTCGTAGCAGTATAGCACTTACGGATGAGCAAACCCACCTACTCTTGCTAATGACCGAACTTAAATATTCCCGTTGTAAGTTTCCGTAAAAAAAGTCAATAATGACCATACTGCAAATCAAGAAAATTAGAGAAATGTCAATTGTGACTTCAACAGTATAGGTCAACTTTTTGACGGACTAGGTCGACCTATTTAGGACGACCAGGTCGAACTTTTTATCTAAACGGTCGACCATATATACTATTTTAAAATAGTAATACTTCTCTTACTTGTCCCAGTTCGTGTCTCCATCCTTCTTTTTACTAACAACATAAAACAAGTCTTCAACTGGATTTTGCAGTTCTTTTATGAATCCTTCTAGACCCTCCACTTTCATGACCTACAACTCAAAGTTAAAATTAACATTACATATGAAATCAAACACACATTATAGATCAATATGTAATGTGAACTTACTCCGTACTTTTCGAAAGGACTCTTAGATTCTTCTTCGTTGCTATCAGCACTAAATAAATCCTTTTTCTTACTAAATGATCCTTCTGTGGAGTGGTGTAGGAGTCACTTTCATATCGAGGTTTCTTGTACTTAGAAGAGGAGCCCTTGCTGCCAAACTTTGTTTCACTCTGTCAATCATATAAACAAAACAAATTAGCACTAATGATAGTAATACTAATATCTTCACTCACATATGAATATACTTGTCTACCTTTAACTTGTGCTCTTTCAATAGATCGTCTATGCTCTGGTAGCAATTTGCAGAGTCATCATGATCTTCCTCCTCTTCTTCAAAGTCAAATTTCTTTCTTGTATCATCTCTTCCTCCATTATCCATTCGTTCTGCACGTATTTATTTGATAGCACATTCTAGCCTTTCAAAACCATCATGCATCATGCCATTCATATTTGTCAGTCGCACTGACAATTGCTCCGGTGTATCACGAATGGACTTCTGATAGCCATTGAATTCTTTTCGACACACCACTAGCGACTCTTGTGTGGCTTTCACCACTTTTATGATTTCACCCTCATCGTGTTGATGTTTCTCATCATGCACCATCATCTAAACATTGTAAATAAAATTCAAATTAGAATTCAACGTCAAATTTGAACAAATGACCAACACATGCGTGGTCGACCTAACTTACAACTGGGTTGACCTTAAAGACACAAATTCCCACTTAACAAAATCAATTAGGTCGAACTTTACCCTTGATAGGTCTACCTATCCAGCAGACAAATACCGATTTACCTACAACAATATGTGTAATTGTGTAATACTACTACGAATAAGACCACGAACAAGTGATAGGTCAACCAACCACATTGACCGGCCGACCTTCTAAGGACAACATAGTCTTACAAACAAAGCCAAATTTGACAGTTTGGATGAAAAAGCAAAACACACATAACCTGTCGACATGGATAATAACTAGGTTGACCTATTGAGTTTGATCTTCCTTACCTCGCAAGTACAGAAGTTTGAGTGTTGTGCCCTAACTTCAAGTTCTCGCAATTGTCAAACAGAGGCCGACCAAATTAAGATCAGGGTCGACTGAATAGTCTTCTACACCCAACAAAACATCAAATTAAATGGTGCAAATTACACACTAAACAAGATGACGGCTGATTAGAGAATATAGGTCGACCTAACCGATCACGAGGTCGACCTCTTCAAATACGTGCAACAGCAAGCACAAAGGATCTTCTCCTCAAAAACTCTAACCGTACAAAAAACCAACTTCAGAGTTTCGGTGGCGTGGAATGTGACATATATTCGTATTTATAGATATTTAGGAAGCTATTGGGTCGAATTAGGTGGTAGACAAGTTAGTGTTACCTTTCTGGAGTTGGAATTCTTATACAATACATATACGGTTTGGATGCGGTCGACCTTGTGATTGTCAGGTCGACCTTGTATATTATTTTCCTAACTAATCCATAATTTGATGTTGACCAGTTAACTACAACAAAGTCGACCTTTTCACATATGAGATCGACCTTTTTGTAGCTAAACGCTCGGCCTTTTCGGTATGCAGGTCGACACTTGCTATTTTTTGCTTACCAAAGAGGTCGCCCACTTGCGCATGAAGGTCAACCGCATCGTTGAGTCAAACAAACCTGAGACCACTGATTAGGTCGACCACACTTTGTATGAGGGCGACCTAAAAGTGCAAGTTACGGTGACTTAGCAAAGTCCTTTTATTTAATATGTATATTTTGCCGAGATTGTTTTCAAATATGTTATATATATTGTCTAAATTCGTTGTGTTAATAATTTCATATTCTCCTAAATGTTTTGCTAAAACCAACATGAACCAGGTTATACCACTTACCAAACCGGTTTGACAACCTTGGGTTTGATTAAACAAGTTAAACGGCAAAGGATAGTAAACCACATAGCAAAAACAATAAAATGAGACATATAGCAGATGCAAGAGAATAAAACAACATATTACCTCAACGATTCTTAACACAGTTACAGTTCAAATCCCATGTGTCTTACGTACACAAAGAGAGAGGAGGACAAATGTTTTAGGGAACGCAATCTAGAAGATGACAGTGTCGAGCATGGTACCCAAGATCTGAACAATGTTGGCGGACATGAGATTCGAGACATCTTCTTCAAGGTGCTTCTTAGCGTCTTGCCTCCCCACGTTTGCGATCGCCAGCTTCTCAGGCGGCAACTCGTCTTCTTCTTGCACTGCTTTGTTGTACTTGATCGCCAAGTTCACCATCTCCTGCACTCACCACCGAAACGCACAATAAGATCGCCATGGAAAAATTGAGATTCATTTGGGGAAATAACATCTAGAAACAGCTATCGCCGTTTACAGGGGCTAGTGTATTGAGTTCGGGAGTTAACGCGGTTTAGGGGTGGGTTTAGACCATTGAAGACAAGCCATTTTACCCTCCAATCTGATGGTTACGAGTCAGTTGGGTTGAGCTTGGATGAGTTTTACGTGGATGGTTTGGGTTGATATTTCCTACCTCACCATTGCATCTTTCGAAAAAAATGAAAGCGTAAACATATTGGTAAGGAAACACAGAACCTAGATGTGAAAACTTTGACAAACCTTAATAGTCTGTCCATTGGTGTTTGAATGATTCTCGAACCTCCTCAGCGTCAATCCATCTGTCCACTTTTTCTTGTGCAAGTTGAGAAGCATTTTTTCCTCGAGTTCGTTCTTTCGGTAGTTAATGGCGATAGAATAGTAGTGTCTGTTCAATCCGTGGATCAGTGCCTGCAATTTAAGAGTTAGTCACAAGTTGGCAAGCAGACATTGCCAAAATGACTACTGTGAAACAAAGGGCAATCATCACTCACTTGAATTGATGGTTTGTTCAGATGCCCAACGTTGGAAGTTGTCTGCCGTGGTTCTTGGCCAAGCATCATGGTTTGAGGATTGATCAAACGGAAAGCATCAATGACCACTTTCCCTTTCACACTCTGAATGGGATCAACCACTACTGCAACAGCCCGTTGATTTAGAGCTTCAAAACTCTATGCACATAGAAGAAATCATATTAATTACTTCTTTCAAATTGAGTTAATGAAGGATTAGCAATGAGTTTCCATTGGCAGGAAAAGTTCGGCAGGAACCTCAGACAAACCTGTTGTGTATTAATATCGACACCTGAGAGCCAACAGCCGAACCCTGGATGCGAGTGGTACCAACCAACCACCATCTCTGGCCTAAAAATCCAAGTAAATGAAATTCATTAAGGATGAGAATAACAAAAAAAGAAAACATTCCCGCAGCAACAACCGAGGACTGGATAGTCTATCATAAAACAAGTGACAAGTTTTGAAACAGCATCCATTAGAATTTGATAGGAATGAAATATCCCTGATATTTAGCATTGACTGTTTCTTCCCCACTCCAGGTTTCGTTGCTGATATTCAGCAGTCTGTTGTACCCACGTTTGCTTAGGATTAATTGCCGCTGTTAGCTGATGTACGTCGTATAAATATCATTCATCAATCAATAATACAATAAATGGGTTTTGCCTGTACTACATCAGAATTCCATGCAAAGAGCTTAATTAACTAAGGATTTTTCCTTTAACGCAAGCACAGCAGCATGATTTTATAGTGCTGCTGAATATGACTGATGATGAAAATAATGTACTTCTTCTTCTAAAGGAGAGCTTACAACTGTAATTTAAACTAAGAAACATGGACCTGTAAGTATGAGCTTCACAAACTTGCACTAGCCCAATACACACACAACTTAACTAACAAATTGCTACCCAAAAACCAGGAGTCAATAAAAGTTATTGTTCAGTTGAAGCGCAAGATTTATCAACTTATAACCGAGTCTATAAAAGTTCTTGCTCAGTTCAACAGCAAGCTTTATCAACAGATCTTAAGAACCGTGACCGCCAAACATATCCAACAGTCCACTACACACCAAAACAGCTTTAAGAACTTCAGCTCAGCAAGCCAACAACAAGAACCAACGCCCATATATCCAGAGAAGTTAAAAATAAAAATTCATGTTCTAGAGGAACCTTATCAGTTATCACTAGAAAGATACCTTCCAGTCTGTTTGAGCATATCGAGCATATTCGTCTGGAAAACAGGGTCAACAGCTTCAACGCTAACACCAGTACCACTCTGTGGCATAGCAAACACATCAACAACTCGAACCGTATATTCATCCACAAACTCCCCCAGCATCAGTCCCATCACCTCCATGGGAACTCCAGCTCGCCCTAACAATTTCCATTAACAAAGATTAGATACCGAATTGAACTCAGCAAGTTTCGAAGTTAAGCTACGCCCACAAAAGCTGGAGCAATTCCTCTCAATTTCTCAGCAGTTGCCATCGGAAATACATCAATCACTCAACATATCCAAACCCTAGCCTGTGCCTCAGTCAACTAAATACGATTCAATCACCAAGCCACCAACCTAATCCAGCTGACGAGTAATAGAACATCAAAACGAGCACCTCGGAGTACGGATTTTAGAGTTTACCGTGCTTTAGCATCTTCAGGAGAGCGAGGGAAGAAATATAAAGCTGCTCCGAGGAATCAAGCGTCGGAGAATCAACCGGAGGGTGGCCCAAACCACCTCCTGCGCCGGCGAACATCCTCTGAAGCCTCTCCATACCGGAAGTCCGTTCTAGATTTCCTCTCGCGGGCGCAGCTAGAGAGAGAGTAGTTTTCTTTGATAGCAAGCCAAAAGCCAATCAACAGCAGAGTGTTGAAGAAAGAAGAAACGGGAAGGGAGCCAGATATGTAACTATTTATTTGTGATTTAATCTCGCGAGATTAATCCTTTAATATCGCGGTTTGGGCTTTTCTAAGATGGACCGAACCGACCGCCTCTTTCAGTCAAGGGAGGTTTGGGCCCACCACTATATCCATTGGGCTTTGGAAACGCGACAATTCGCAGCCGATGCGAAGAGAGAATGTGCGCATCTTCCATTCTCCTTCTCCTCCTAAAAGTCGTCGAGGTTGGTTACGGCTCCGTCAATGTCGTCTCCCTCCCGCCATTCCCTCTGCGT